TCCTCTGGTGATCTGGGATCTTACTTGGTTATTGACCATAGGACTCATTAGTGACTCTCCCTTGACAGCAACCAATAGTGTAGAATCGGGGCATCACAACTTGGTATCAGAGCCTAAGTTCAACCCTTAACCCTCGCAACCCTATACGGGACTCTAGAAGCCCTTACCCCTTATCTTATTTTATTCTATCATGCTATTATAAGAAGATTAACTAATAAAAATCTTTTCCACCTTAGGATGTCATTGGGAGGCTATCAAGGACGCGGCGTCAGTACCGACTCATGAGGTGTTTTCCATATGCAAGGAAGGAGGGCCATGTCTGTTAGCCCCTACTTTAGCCGCCGACGTTGTGAAATCACCGCTGAGGAAATGATCAAGACCGAGATACGTAAGGTGGAGACGGAGTACTCCCACTATACGAGGACGCAGAAGAGGTCTCTGGCGTGGCGCCGCCTATAATTTCTGAGCCGGGTAGCAAAGAAGGCGATTCGAATGGAGCAAGATGAACAGAGGATGGACTCCTTGATACACCGAGCTTTGACCGCCATAGCACCGACTTAGGCTGAAAGCCACGAATCTTGTTATCACGTGCCAGGCGACAATCAACCAATGGATATGGAGCATCCACCAAAGCAGCAAGGAGCAAACCCAGCCTACCCTATCGAGGTGTCATCTGATCACAATCCTCCCGCACCAATATACACCCCCCGCTCTCCAGACCAAGCCACCGACTCCGCTGATGAAGACCCAGAAGAAGACTTTGATTGGTCGGGAAACGAGAACTAAATCGAGGGATATTGAAACTAGACTTTTGTAAAACCCGCTAATGGGGATCCTTAAAATAAGATAGCCTGAACCTTGTAATGCGTAAAAGCTCTTTGAATGTAACTCCGATGTAGGAGCCCTTTTGTAATGATGCCTATTATAATATATGAATGATGTGTTGATCTATGTTATTGACTATTACTTGCTTTAGTGCACCCTAAGGAAATTGAACCTTTATCTCAAATCTAAGTAGTAAGATTTTCTAAGACTGGAAACCAACTCATCACATGCCATGAACAGAATGGTGGACACGCGAGCTAATGGATATACCGAAACAAGCAACAATGTACGAAACCATCCCATAAATCAACACGGACCCATCCCTGCAAGGGCTGACATCCCCAATAACCTAGGTCATCAAATTTTGGAGGAACTAGGGCAAATAAGGAACAATCGGCAGAATGAGAGGACTTGACTCTTTTCTGAGTTTCGGAAGCAGAGGCCCCCAAAGTTCACAGGCGTACCAGACCCGAAGGTAGCTGAAAATTGGCTCCGGCAGATATAGAAAATGCTAGACACTATGGGCATAACCGAGGCTGCTGATAGAATAGCTTTGGCAGTATTCAAGCTGGATGATGAGGCTGACCATTGTAGGAGTAAATCAAGAATACTCGTGACGTAGAGAGCCTATCATGGAACCAGTTCAGGGAACTATTCTTAAATAAATATTTCCCAAGTACTATCTACCGAGAACGAGTCAAGGAATTCCAAAACCTGGAACAAGGAAATATGACCGTGACCCAGTATGCTACAAAATTTGAAAAGCTAGCCCGATACGCAACCAGATACATAGCAAATGATGAAGAGAAAACAAGGATGTTCGAGTGGGGACTGGACCTTACAATCAGGGGAAGAGTTCTTCCAAAACGACTCCCCTCATATGCCGAGGTGCTGGAAATGGCATTAGAATCTGAAAGGGAAGTGAACGACACCAGGAAGGCTTGGAATAAGAGAAAAGGGAGTCAAGCGTCTATTGGACCTCAAAGGATCCAGAGAGGAAGCGTGACCTCAAAGCCCTACTCCAGACCACAACCACAACAACAACGACAGCAACCGCAACAACAGATCCAGAGAGAAGGCTACCAACAAAGGCTGATGAGACAAATCCAGTGCTTTCATTGCCAACAATTAGGGCACAAAAAGAGCGAATGTCCCCAACTCCCTCCATCTAGATACCAATGAGAAGGTTCCGGAGCAAATGCCCAGGCATTAGGAGGGCAGAAGCCTTAGACAAATAAGACAGGATCTACTGGGCAGCAGTACCAGAGGAGTGGAGGAACTCAGAACGCCAAGACCAGTGGCAACTAGAAGGCAGTCGGCAGAGTCTTTGCCCTGCAAGAGGAAGAGGCAGACCCGTCCATAATTGAGGGTAATTTAGTACTATACAATTCTTGGGTGCATGTTTTATTTGATACCGGTGCATCACATTCTTTCATATCCTCTGCTTGTGCTAAGTCACTAGAACTTGTATGTGAACCCTTAGTAACTGCCTTAAGTGTAATGTCACCTATGGGAGGATGCGTTCGGGTAGGATCGATCTGTAAGTGCTGTAAGATAGGGATGTCAAACCTACGCTTAACTTTCGACCTTCGTATCATGGAAATGTCGGACTTCGACATCATCTTGAGCATGGATTGGTTGTTCGCCCACCGGGCGGTGATCGACTGTCATCAGAAGAAAGTGGTAGCTTATACGCAAGATGGAACACGTTTCCGGTTTAAGGGGGATAGACAAGACCCCATGGTTTGAACAAAACATCGGACGCAGTGGCGTGATCAACTTGCGGGTAGGATAGCAAGCCTAATTCTAAATGAGGAAGGCTAAGGCAAAATAGAACTTCCACGTGTAGTATGCGATTATGCAGATATATTTCTTACGGAATTACCAGGATTGCCGTCAACTTGGGAAGTAGACTTTAGCATCGAGTTGCAACCTGGAACTACCCCGATATCCATGGCTCCGTATCGTATGGCACCAGTAGAACTACGAGAATTGAAGACACAGCTACAGGAATTGCTCGAGAGAGGATTCAATAGGCCAAGTACTTCGCCATGGGGAGCACCCATGTTGTTTGCTAAAAAGAAAGTTGGATCGTTGAGGCTATGCATCGATTCTCGTCAACTCAATCGAGTCACGATTAAGAATCGATACCCACTCCCAAGGATTGATGACCTTTTTGACCAACTTAGAGGCTCAAGGTGCTATTCAAAGATCAATCTTAGGTCAGGTTACCATCAACTGCGAGTCAAGGAGGAGGATATACCAAAGACTGCCTTCCGTACTAGATATAGCCACTATGAGTTTGTAGTAATGCCCTTCGGACTAACCAACGCACCGGCAGTATTCATGAGCCTAATGAATAAGATTTTTAGACCATACCTTGACCAATTTGTAGTAGTATTCATTGATGACATCTTGGTATATTCAAGGTCTGAAGAAGAGCATGAGCAACATTTAAGGAATGTCCTTCAAGTTCTTAGGGATAATCAGTTATATGCCAAGGCGAGTAAATGCGAGTTCTGGTTGAATGAAGTAAAGTTCTTAGGGCATGTGGTATCAGAGAATGGGATTGCGGTGGGTCCAACCAAGGTGGAGGCAATATTAGATTGGAGGCAACCAAAGACCGTGTCAGAAATCCGCAGCTTCTTAGGATTGGCTGGTTATTACCGGAGGTTCATTCAAGATTTCTCTAAACTAGCTAAACCAATGACTTGTTTGACGCAAAAGGAAGTAAAGTATGAGTGGGACGAAGCTTGCGAAAAATCCTTCCAAGAGCTAAAGAAGAGGTTAACTAGTGCGCCAATTTTGACCATCCCAGAACGAGAAGAGGGGTACACTGTGTATTGCGATGCGTCTAAAGAAGGATTAGGTTGCGTGCTCATGCAAAATGGAAAGGTAGTCGCATATGGGTCCAGGCAGTTGAAACCTCATGAGTACAACTACCCCACGCATGACTTGGAGTTACCAGCCGTAGTTTTTGCCCTAAAGCAATGGCGACATTACCTGTATGGGGAACAATTTGAGATTTTCACAGATCACAAGAGTTTGAAGTATCTATTCACACAGAAGGACCTTAACCTGAGACAGAGACGATGGATGGAGTATCTTGAGGATTTCCAGTTCACTCTTTCATATCACCCCGGTAAAGACAATGTAGTAGCAGATGCTCTAAGTCGTAAGAGCAGAGGGATGATGGCTAAGATCTCCGTCAAGGAATGGGATATGGTTAAGACACTCAATGAGTTCAGGATCCAAGTAGAATCTCAAGATACAAGAGCATATCTTAGTGCGCAGAAGTTGATGCCTAAGTTGATGAAAGTGGTCCTTGAGGCCCAGAAGCACGATCAAGAGGTAGCCTACATCAAGGGACGTCTGGAATCAGGAGAGCCCATGCCCAATTGGGTAATTCACATCGATGGGAGTTTAAGATACCAAGGTAGATTGTTTGTACCAAGTGACAAGTTACTTAGAGAAAAGGTACTAACGGAATGTCATCATTCTGCATTCGCGGTACATCCAAGAGGGACTAAAATGTACCAAGATTTGAAGAGGCAGTATTAGTGGAATGGAAGAAGGAAGTGGCTAAATTTGTAGCAAGATGTCTGACACGCCAACAAGTGAAGGCGGAACATCAAAAATCAAGGGGAATGTTGCAACCTCTGCCGATAGCCGAATGGAAGTGGGAGTACGTGACGATGGATTTTGTGACAGGGTTGCCTAAATCACCTAAAAGGCGCGATGCTATATGGGTAATAGTGGACCGTTTCACCAAGTTAGCACATTTCCTACCCTATAAGATGACTGACACTTTAGAGTCTATGTGCAGGCTCTACATTGGGGAAATCATTCTACTACATGGAATTCCGGTATCTATCATGTTAGATTGTGATCCACGGTTCACCTCTCGATTTTGGGGGAGCTTGCAGGAAGCTCTTGGTACTGAGTTATGTTTTAGCACCGCCTTTCACCCGCAGACGGATAGACAATCTGAACGCACAATCCAGACACTCGAAGACATGTTGAGAACTTGCGGAATGGATTTTCAAGGAAGTTGGGAATGACACCTACCTCTAATTGAATTCGCCTACAACAACAGCTTTCAAGCTAGCATCGGTATGGCGCCCTTTGAAGCATTATATGGATGACCTTGTAGATCGCCGATTTGTTGGACGGAAATGGGTGATACAAATCTAATAGGACCTGAACTTGTTCTAGAGACTACTGAGAAGGTCAAATTGATCCGACAACAGTTAAAGACTGCCCAAGACCGTCAAAGAAATTATGTAGACAGGAAGAGAAGACCATTGATGTTTGAAGTAGGCAGCCATGTGTTCTTAAAGGTGCAACCTAGGCGTGGAGTCGTACGTTTTGGGAGAAAAGGGAAGTTGTCACTAACCTTTTGAGGTATTAGAAAGAGTGGGCGAAGTAGCATATAAACTAGCTCTACCCCCGCAGTTAGCAGGGATACACAACGTCTTCTATGTATCTATGTTGAGAAAATACATCGCTGACCCATCACACATCCTCAAGTGGAAAGAAATCAGTCTTGACAAAGATGTTACATTTAAAGAAGGACCGGTAGCAATACAAGACAGTCGAGAGAAGAACCTTAGAGGCAAGACGGTTCACTTGGTGAAAGTGCTATGGTGTCATCGGGGAATTGAGGAGTCTACTTGGGAACGCCAGGATTGGGTGAAGGCAAACAACCCCGAGCTTTTCGAAAGCAATAGGTAGTTAAATTTCGAGGACGAAATTGTTTTAAGGGGGATAGGTTGTGAAGCCCCTGAAATATGTGTTCACTTTAAAAACCCTAATGTTTGAATTATTTTCTTCAAGCCCCTCGGTTACTTGAATTAATTCGAATCTTGTCGGTTAGCATTACTTTTTTTTTTTTATCAATACAGGAATTACCCTAGCCGGATTATGTTCCCTAACCTAATTTAATTCTACCTAAGTTACATGTATTTAACTCCAAGCCCTCACCCTTTCTTTAAATTCAAAACTTACCCAAAACTAGTACTTGTACCGTATACCTTGAAGTACCATCAATCTTGTAAGATATATATATATACACCTTAAAGAGTGTGCCCTAGGACCAAAACGAATAAAATAATAACTCCATCACACTTCCCCAAGGCCGGCCACCCTAAAAAGAAGAGAGGAGCCAATTTCAAGATTTTTGATCATGATATTCTAGGAAAACCAAAACCTAGTACCTTAGGCCTAGGATGATGTTCCCTATACTAGTTACCTTTCAACTAAAAATCAACTAAATAATGCCTAATCCTATGATTTAGCACCATAGTTACTCCTATCCCATTAGACTCCAAGCAAAATCCTAAACTTTCCATCCATTTCTAACTAGTGGACTTTTAGGACATTTTACATCAAAAATTGCCTATATATATACCAACCTCCCCTAGCTTGGCAAGACACAAACACCACACCCACACACACACACATTTGGCTAGAGAGAGGGAGGAGAGCAAGAGAGAGAAGTCTAGAAGAAGAAGAGGAAGAAAGAAGAGAGCTTTCTTGTGCAAAGCTTAGCAGGTAAGCCACAAACACAACATTCTCTTTCATTTTCTTTTTTCAATACATGTTTCTAAAGGTTCTAAATAATGTTTTCAGAATTGATATTACTAAGTTTTTATGTTAAAAGTGCTAAGGGTTGAGTATTGATTCCATCTCTCTTGTATTTTCCCCATTTTGGTCCAAAACCCTATTTTTTTGTACCAATCTCTCAACTTTGCAAAGGCACTCCTTCAAACAAATTTTCTGAGTTAAATATATGATAGTTAGCATATTTTCTTCACAAAATAAATGAAACTTTCCCTTGGTGGAATCCCTTTTTCATAAATCTTCTTGTTTTGGGCAAAGTACCTTAGAATCTGTTTTTGCATCCCACTTCCATAAATTCTAAAACAATGTATAAAATTATTCTGGGTCTCTATTTTATGTCACAACCTTCCTTAAGGTGTTAGCTTTCAACTAAAATTTGTTTCATCATAAAACATTAAGCGGTTTGCAAGAAAATCAATTTTTTGTAACGGTCGACGGATCTGGACAGAATTTGGACAACGTTGGAATATTTTCTAAATAACTTAAAATCTGGAAAAGCGATCCCATTTCCAAAAACTATTCTAGAAACTAGATTAAATCCTCTACGAACCATAGGAAGGCCAAGTCCGGTGAAGGATCTAAAATAGTCCTCTCATTTTAATCTTTATGTGATATTAAATCTGAAAAATTTGTTATGCATGGATGTTTTAAGCCTTGTATTCATGAAAATGTTTATTAGTTCATGATCATATCCTAGCCTGATATTGTATGTGTTATATTATGTTCTTCATCTTCTTTACCTTATTGATACATGCTTGTATGGATATTTTTATCTTGTTAAGTTGTCTAACCTTGATGTAAAATATTTAACTCAGCGGGAAACCTAATGGGGAGTGAATTGGGTTTTCGAGCGCTTGAGTGATGAAAAAAAATGAGAATATGTGATTTATGGATTGTTGGGATGCGTTCCCTATTCGAAAGTTAAAGTCTTGCGCAAGTGGTTTTCGGAACCCTTGAACAAAGCGGTTGTAGGTGGTTTGGTGTAAAGAGGGATTCAGGCAAGGCCCTATTTTACCGTCTCTTTTGAGGCCCTGCGATTGGCGCTACACGGTACATAACCGTTGGTAGGCATCCGAGGTTAGGTCTGCAACAAAGCAGCAAAAGAGGGGGCATACCGAATAATCCGCGTCCGATTCTCATGGTTGGGAGGACGAAATCCCTTTGGCGGATTTCTAGTTGCTAACAACCTAACTTAACCCTTTATTTATTTATTTGAGTATTATGCTTTATTACTTGATATTATAATGGTGATTGTGTGTTGAACTGGGAAAAATGGGTAGGGTGTGTGTGTGTGTTTACTAGGCATTCAAAGCTCACGACGTATCATGTCAGGTGACGAAGCGGAACTCATAGCTGGAGACGACGAGCCCGAAACTTTTGAAGACTTTTGGCTATCCTAGAAAAATTAGAAGTTTCTTTTTGGATGTTTTGTAAAGACTCATTTGAAGACTTAAGCTTTCTTCTGGAATGTAATGTAATGGAACCATCCTTGAGTTATATATATTGTGATTGTTATATATTTATATTCTATGTAAGAATCTTATCGTTGCTTATGAGACCTTGTGCCAATACCTTTAAGATCTGTCAAAAGGGCAGTGCGCCGCCTAAGAAAGCTGGACTTAGAAGGGAGGTTAATTCAACTCCTCCGGCGATCTGGGATCTTACTTGGTTATTGACCATAGGACTCATTAGTGACTCTCCCTTGACATTTATATTCTATGTAAGAATCTTATCGTTGCTTATGAGACCTTGTGTCAATACCTTTTAAGATCTGTCAAAAGGGTAGTGCGCCGTCTAAGAAAGCTGGACTTAAAAGAGAGGCTAATTTGACTCCTCCGGCGATCTGGGATCTTACTTGGTTATTGACCATAGGACTCATTAGTGACTCTCCCTTGACAGCAACCAATAGTGTAGAACTGGGGCGTCACAAGTTTTGTCAAACGGGATTGCCAAAAATAAAAACGTAACAATATGAATTATTCAAACTATCAAAATAGATCCTAAAATGAATCCATTTGACTGCATAGCAATAGCTATTGTATCCCAGCACACCTAGCAGGATTTAGGGGGGTTATTGTGCTGGAAGCACAGCAACCACTGCTTGGCAACCAAATGAGCCCATTTTGGCCCTCATTTTGATTATCTAAACCGTTCACGTTTTAGAATAGATCACCCGCGGAAAAACAAGTTAATCGGATATTGTTAACACTTTCATCATACATTTGTATTTATTTTAATACTTTAAATCACAATTATCATTTATTTTTATGGAAAATTATTTAGTAATCCCGGAACACCACGTAGCTATACTCCAAGCCAATCACCAATTATTTGGCCCTCATGTTATTCTGTCATCCCCAACATAAATCGCGGCCTCCTACCCCTCTCTATCAATCAAAATCTTATGGAGCACCATGTGTCCATATTCCGAAAATACTGAATAATCACCCTATTTTTATAAATACAAATATGAGTAGATGAAAGGGTTAACAATATCCAATTAACATGATTTTTTTACAGGTATGTTCTACTTGATTTATTTTAAAATTTGAATGGCTTGAATTATTAAAATAAATCCCGAAATGAGCCTATTTGGCTATACAACAATAACTTTTATGCCCTTTAACACAGAACTGCCCCAAATCCAAAAATTTTTTATTAAAAATCAAAGCAAATTGCGGTTTTCTTTGTTAGACGGCTAACGAATATTGTTGGACAGCTAACGATTCCTTATTATATCGGCCAGAATGCATCGATCATGTGAGAAAAATTATTATTTACATAGCGTTTTTAGAAATAAATAATTACAAGACACGCTAAGTGAATTAAATTGTCCCTCAACTGTGTAAGAAAGTTGAATGAACATATTTTAATTAAAAAAAAAAAAAAATTCAGACCTCATTAGTTTAAAACAATGTTTAAAAATGTCTTCCAGTTTTCTCACACTATTTAATGATTGGAGGAGGGTCTTCTCCCATCGAGACTTTGGATTAGAGAGCATTGTTTGAGCTTGTGGAGGTTGTTACGTTACGGGTCTTATTTCTATAATTCGAATTGTTTATTTTGTTAGATATTTTGTGTATTTCATTCACAAAAAATTAGATCAATCCAATAATTGTAACTTATTCAATTTATTCCTTTTTCATCCAAAAAAAAAAAAAAATTATGTTTTTAAAAAAACTATACATTTTTTTTTGTTGAAAAGTGATAAATTGAGTAATATATAATTATCGGATAAACTTAATTTTTTATAAAAATAAAATACATAAAATATCCAATAAAATAAAAAAATTCAAATTATCAAAATGAAACCGGTGATAATCCTTATAAGCCCAAACAACATCCTCCTCCTTAATATAATCCACGGAAATGCTGGAGACCCCCTAGCTCCGAGGTTAGTTCTGCAACAAAGCAGCAAAAGAGGGGGCATACCGAATAATCCGCGTCCGATTCTTGTGGTTGGGAGGACGAAATCTCTTTGGCGGATTTCTAGTTGCTAACAACCTAACTTAACCCTTTATTTATTTATTTGAGTATTATGCTTTATTGCTTGATATTATAATGGTGATTGTGTATTGGACTGGGAAAAATGGGTAGGGTGTGTGCGTGTTTATTGGGCATTCAAAGCTCACGACGTATCATGTCAGGTGACGAAGCGGAACTCATAGCTGGAGACGACGAGCCCGAAACTTTTGAAGACTTTTGGCTATCCTAGAAAAATTAGAAGTTTCTTTTTGGATGTTTTGTAAAGACTCATTTGAAGACTTAAGCTTTCTTCTGGAATGTAATGTAATGGAACCATCCTTGAGTTATATATATTGTGATTGTTATATATTTATATTCTATGTAAGAATCTTATCGTTGCTTATGAGACCTTGTGTCAATACCTTTTAAGATCTGTCAAAAGGGCAGTGCGCCGCCTAAGAAAGCTGGACTTAGAAGAGAGGCTAATTTGACTCCTCCGGCGATCTGGAATCTTACTTGGTTAATGACCATAGGACTCATTAGTGACTCTCCCTTGACAGCAACCAATAGTGTAGAACCGGGGCGTCACAAGTTTTGTCAAACGGGATTGCCAAAAATAAAAACCTAACAATATGAATTATTCAAACTATCAAAATAGATCATAAAATGAGTCCATTTGACTGCATAGCAATAGCTATTGTATCCCAGCACACCTAGTAGGATTTAGGGGGGTTGTTGTGCTGGAAGCACAGCAGCCACTGCTTGGCAACCAAATGAGCCCATTTTGGCCCTCATTTTGATTATCTAAACCGTTCACCATTTAGAGTAGATCACCCGCGGAAAAACAAGTTAATCGGATATTGTTAACACTTTCATCTTACATTTGTATTTATTTTAATACTTTAAATCACAATTATCATTTATTTTTATGGAAAATTATTTAATAATCCCGGAATACCACGTAGCCATACTCCAAGCCAATCACAAATTATTTAGCCCTCATGTTATTCTGTCATCCCCAACATAAATCGCGGCCTCCTACCCCTCTCTATCAATCAAAATCTTATGGAGCATCACGTGTCCATATTCCGAAAATACTGAATAATCACCCTATTTTTATAAATACAAATATGAGTAGATGAAAGGGTTAACAATATCCAATTAACTTGATTTTTTTACAGGTATGTTCTACTTGATTTATTTTAAAATGTGAATAGCTTGAATTATTAAAATAAATCCCGAAATGAGCCTATTTGACTATACAACAATAACTTTTATGCCCTTTAACACAGAACTGCCCCAAATCCATAATTTTTTTATTAAAAATCAAAGCAAATTGTCCCCCCAACATAAATCGCGGCCTCCTACCCCTCTCTATCAATCAAAATCTTATGGAGCACCATGTGTCCATATTCCGAAAATACTAAATAATCACCCTATTTTTATAAATACAAATATGAGTAAATGAAAGGGTTAACAATATCCAATTAACTTGATTTTTTTACAGGTATGTTCTACTTGATTTATTTTAAAATGTGAATAGCTTGAATTATTAAAATAAATCCCGAAATGAGCCTATTTGACTATACAACAATAACTTTTATGCCCTTTAACACAGAACTGCCCCAAATCCATAATTTTTTTATTAAAAATCAAAGCAAATTGCGGTTTTCTTGGTTAGACGGCTAACGAATATTGTTGGACAGCTAACGATTCCTTATTATATCGGCCAGAATGCATCGATCATGTGAGAAAAATTATTATTTACATAGCGTTTTTAGAAATAAATAATTACAAGGCACGCTAAGTGAATTCAATTGTCCCTCAACTATGTAAGAAAGTTGAATGAACATATTTTAATAAATAAAAAAAAATTCAGACCTCATTAGTTTAAAACAATGTTTAAAAATGTCTTCCAGTTTTCTCACACTATTTAATGATTGGAGGAGGGTCTTCTCCCATCCAGACTTTGGATTAGAGAGCATTGTTTGAGCTTGTGGAGGTTGTTACGTTACGGGTCTTGTTTCCATAATTCGAATGGTTTATTTTGTTAGATATTTTGTGTATTTCATTCACAAAAAATTAAATCAATCCAATAATTGTAATTTATTCAATTTATTCATTTTTCATCCAAAAAAAAAAAAATTATGTTTTTTAAAAAAAACTATACATTTTTTTTGTTGAAAAGTGATAAATTGAGTAATATATAATTATCGGATAAACTTAATTTTTTATAAAAATAAAATACATAAAATATCCAATAAAATAAAAAAAATTCAAATTATCAAAATGAAACCGGTAATAATCCTTATAAGCCCAAACAACATCCTCCTCCTTAATATAATCCACGGAAATGCTGGAGACCCCGCCAGCTCCAAGGCGCCCCCCAATGCCAATTCTAATGAGCTAGCAGTGCAAGGAAAAAAAAAAAAAAAAAAAAAAAAAACAACAACAACAACAACAGTTTTTTGATCCAATCACAAGGGACACCAGCACCCCTACTCGGGTCTCAAGCTTTATTCATATAATCCATCATAAGATAATCAAAGAAAGGCGTGGATAATCGGAATCCAAAGATTTTGTTAAATCTTCAAACTTTGAGAGAGATTTAAAACTCTTTACTCGGCTATAAAACTATTTCCATATTCTCTTTCCATACAAATCAATCCCACTAGAGAGAGAGAGAGAGAGAGAATGAGTTCCAGATCCATGTTAGAGAAGCCTCATGCAGTTTGTATACCATTCCCAGCTCAAGGCCACATCAACCCCATGCTAAAACTAGCCAAACTCCTCCATAACAGAGACTTCCACATAACCTTTGTTAACACAGAATCCAACCACAACCGCATCCTCAAATCCCGAGGCCCCGACTCCCTCGACGGCCTCCCTTCCTTCCGCTTTGAGACCATACCTGACGGCCTCCCGAAATTGGACGCCAATGCCTACCTGTTGGAATCCACCAGCAAAGACTGGTTAGTTCCTTTTATAGACCTTCTTTCCAAACTCAGTGACACTGCAACATCGAACGTCCCACCGATCACTTGCATAGTCTCTGATTCGATCATGTGCTTCACACTCGCAGCTGCTGAAGAACTAGGCATCCCCTATGTTTCTTTCTGGTCAGCCGGTGCTTGTGGCTTTATGGGTTTCATCCAATACCGTAATCTTGTCGAAAAAGGTTTCTTACCTATCAAAGGTACATGATTTTATTTACATACATACATAGATATATTTTCATAACAAAATTTCATAATATACACCCATTTTAAAGTGTGTTATATGCCCAGTTACGATGTTTGTGATTTTTTATTATGACATGTTAATTATGACTCAACAATATTTTGTTTATTAGTTTGGTTGTGATCAAAATAGTTTATAGTTATACTTTATGTAATGTTGAGTTATAACTAATTATATTTTTTTTAGTTATAATTGAAAAATGATTTAATTAAAACATTTGTGACAATCAATACGACAAATGTCATAACTTCCGTACACTATTTTGAGGGTGTGTATTCTACAATAACCCTATGCACATATTTGTGCAACAATAAGTTTAGGAAGACAGAGCCATGGTGGAGCCCATATCTAAAAAATTATGGTGGTGTTGGGGAAAGATTTTTTTTGATTTATTTTTCACTAAAAGCCAAATTGGTTATAAAATCAAAAAAAAAAAAAAAATCTAAACAAAATATCACATCAAGCCCCATAATTATTTCATTTTTTTTCTCACAAACATCACATTCAACCACAAAAAAACCCAACTATCTTTCAAAATATAAAAAAAAAATTTCTTTAATAATATCCTACAACTAAAAATCCTATAAAGAAACTCACTTCCCAAACACCAACTATATCCACATCTATTAGAAAATGATATAAAAGTCAATTTTCTAATCTCATTTTTAAGACTCGATTATGTGCAAAGAAAAATGATTTGATGATAATTAGAAAGAAATAATTACCTTACATATTTTAATAGACTATCATAAAATTGAATTTTAAAAGTTGATCTAATTTTTTGATTAGAATCGCAGTACTTTGTATAATTAGTTTTGTCTTTGTAACATGGTTGTCTGTATACTTTTGAAGAAATGTATAAGTAATTTAAAATTTTATACACTAAGAAGGACAATATTAATACCATATACTATTTCAGATATATATTCTATATATAAATCACCCCCCTTTAGCTTAAGGGAGAAACCTTTGTAACTTAAAATTATTTAAATTAACATTACTCATTAATGAGAGAGATTTCAAAACTGTGGGTGTTGCACCGATAAGGAAAATTATAAATCAGTAAATATTTTTAAAAGATATTTATTCATAAATCTCTTTTCACCTACTTATATTCTATTTAATCTAAATTATTTGTTTATGTTGTAATAAGTCTTAAGGGTAACATAGTTACCAAAATATTCTTAACAGTAATAAGGTGAAACGAGTATTAATATTCACATTGATAATATGAATGTTCGATTAACATTCACTCGTCAATGTGAATTTTCGCACTGTCAAATATGAATATTCAAATCACCAAATTGGTAGGTTCAAAAAAATATTTATAAGGGTAAAATTGTATATAAAATATCTTAAGGGGTTGTTTGGGAAGTGCCATATTAGCACACATTTTATCTTTTCTATATCGCATCACCGCTTTATTTTTCTATATCTTTTCGTAAAAAGTTAAAAAATATACTTATTTAGTTCTTCATAAAGAACCCGTAAATATGAGAATTAGGATTTTTTAGATCAAATGTCCAAATAATATGACTTATTACAATATAAAAATATGTTATGGACTAATTGAGATGCAAATATTTGAAAGAGAATTTTTAAATAAATTTTCCAATTTAAAAATAATTTTAAGGGTAAATTTCCACAATGAGTAATATTATTAACCTAGAAATTTTACTTAGAATTTATTAGAATTGTCAACTAGTGATCATCATTTATTTTATATATAAATCACGTTACACAAATTTAATTTCGATTACACAATCTTATTCAAGATAAAAATATAAGATTATTTTTCAAGATTATTTTTAGAGTGCATTTGGTTACACAAATTTAAATTTGATTACACAATCTTATTCGAGATAAATGTTGCCAGGTGCACTCTAAAAATGTGTATGGTTTGCAGGGTCAATTCTAGGTGTAATAAAGGAGTTTTTTTTTTTATTATATGAATGGAAGAAGATGGCTGAAGAGGCCATTATGAGGTCATCCGCTTCATCGTTCTCAAATCTAGAGAAAATGATTAAGCAAGTTCTTCCCCCTTCCAGACATTAGGGTAATTAAAGTGACCATTTTACAACGGTAGTTTTAGTCCTTAAACCCACTTTTTCTGAACACTTAGGTTTAGTTTGAGAAGTTGGTTTGGTTTTTTGACTATTTTAATTACGGTTAAAAAGTTCGTTTGGGTTGATTTTTTTTTATTTTTTTAACTTTTGTGAGAAAAAAAAATGATTTAAATATGATATCTTATCTTTTTGAAATTTTAGCTTATTTTGTTTTATTATAACTAATATAGCCAAAAAACTAACCCAAATGACACCTTACCCAGCCTAGTTTCTTGAACACCCAACCCAACTTAGCCCACAACCCTTTAATTAATATATACTAGTGTGTGGCACGTACAATACGTGTAATTCAAATAAATAAAAATAATAATAAATAATAAAGACATTAGTAAGAGCTTAGTGGTAAGAGTGTTTTTAATAAAACGTTACTCAGCCTATATAAAGTACCTCATAGACAAAATTTTGTGATTTTATAATTAATCAATAGTTTTATAGCTTATCTCAATTTGAATTAAAATAGATTTCTTCATTTTATTTATCATGCTAATGATAAAAAAATATATATACTACATTTTATATTTTGAAACAATGATATCATTATAATATAATTTTATTTTATTTATTTATTTATTTGTTTGTGATTTGAAAAGTCTAAAAAAAAATAAATTTTTGAATGTCTATCCTGAAAGAAATTTGGAGTATTCATTGTGACCACCCTAAAAAAATTCTTGGAGTCACCTAATAAAAATGATAACTTCTATCGCAAACTTTATCTACAAAATATGTAACCTTTTGCTTATCATAAAAAGTATAACTTTGTCATTCATAACTTTAAGAGTACACACCATAACTTCGCCATTCATAACTTTCATCACAAAAAGAAATCATAACTTCTATAACAAAAATTTATAATTTTTACTCTAGATGTAGTAACTATTCTTATGAAGTGCACCTTTTTAGGGGTGTGCGATGTAACATTTTCCTTATAGTAATCTATATGTCTACATAAAAAATACAAGTAAGGTACCACTTTTTAGGGGTGCACTATGTAACATCTTCCTTTTAGTAATCTACATGTCTACATAAAAAATACAAGCAAGGTACCGTAGTGATTTGTTCCTTTCTTTTTCTTTCTTTTTTATATATATGTATGGGCATTGAGCTATTGCATTTACTATTATTGTGATTTGCAGACTCAAGTTCTATCACAAATGAGTATTTGGATACGACTGTAGATTGGATACCTAGTATGCAAGGTATACGTTTGAAGGATATCCCAAACTTTATTCATTGCATTAACCTTGGTGACTTTATGATTAAATATACATCGGAGATAACTGAGACAACTCTCAAATCTTCCGCAATCATTATTAATACATTTGAAGAATTGGAGCACCAAGTTTTGTATGCACTTTCATCCATGTTTCCTCCAATTTACACCATTGGACCTTTACACTTACTCCTAAATCAGATCGAGGATGTTAGTTTGAAGTCAATAGGATCAAATTTGTGGAAAGAAATGCTTGAGTGCCTAGAATGGCTCAACTCTAAAGAACCTCACTCTGTTGTTTATGTGAATTATGGAAGCCTAACTAAAATGACACCAAATCAACTGGTTGAGTTTGCTTGGGGACTTGCTAATAGCAACCAGACCTTTTTATGGATAGTAAGACCTGATCTTGTCACCGGCGACTTGGCTGCTATTCCACCAGAATTTGTGACAGAAACTAAAGACAGAAGTCTACTTACAAGTTGGTGCCCACAAGAACAAGTTCTCTCACACCCATCTATCGGAGGGTTTTTAACTCACTCTGGGTGGAACTCCACTATTGAAAGCATTTCCAGCGGAGTACCAATGATATGTTGGCCCAATTTTTCCGATCAACAAACCAACTGTTGGTATAGCTGCACTCAATGGGGGATTGGGGTAGAGATAAATAATGATGTTAAGAGAGATGAAGTTGAGAGGATTGTAAGAGAGTTGATGGTTGGAGACAAAGGTCAGGAGATGAAAAAAAGAAGCATGGAATGGAAGAAGATGGCTGAAGGGGCCATTATGAGGTCATCCGCTTCATCTTTCTCAAATCTAGAGAAAATGATTAAGCAAGTTCTTCCCCCTTCCAGACATTGGGGTAATTAAAGTGACCATTTTACAACGGTTGTTTTAGTCCTTAAAATATGTATTTTTTTGTTTTTGGTTATTTTAGTCCCTTAAGTTTTAATTTTGTCATTTTAATCCTCAAAAGTTTTAATTTGAATCAAATTGGTCCAATTCCAAATGGTTGTTTAAATTGTAAACAAAATACACACACGATCTTGAAAGTTTGTGTTTTGTGTTATTTTAGTTCCTAAAATTTTAATTTTGTCAATTTCATCCTTCAATCACTTTTGTTTCATTTTTTTTAATCAATGTTTCAAGACCAAATTGACAACATTAAAAACTTTAGGAACCAAACTGATACAAAACACATAGTTTAAGAACCATGCCTATATTTTATTACTATTCCGTTAACAATTTAGATGGTCCATTTGGAATTGGACCAAATCGAATCAAATTGAAATCTTTTTTTTTTATCGGCAAAAGAAAGCTTTATTGATGGAAAACATAACGAGTATGATAGGATACATCAATAAAGAAGAGGGTGCAAAAAGCATCACAGTGAAACATTTGGATCCCAACTAGGTTGGCACCTAAATGCACACCAAATCATCTGCTAGCACACACTCGAGGCTCCAAGATGGTGAGAAACCATCAAACAGAGCGAAACAAAACAAAACAAAAACAAAAATGCCACAAAAGCACGCCACAGCTGGGTCATAAGACAGATCACCAAAGCAGTGGCTGAGCATAACATACAATAGCAGACCAGCAGCCTGTGGTGGTTGCACCAGAACTGAGCATAATCATACTAGGACCAAAAACTCTGCCGTTCAATCACCATTCACCATTCAAACACCAATCTATTTTTTTTTTTGATCAGCAAAGAATAATTTTATAGATAAAAGGATAGAAAAGAGGGACTTGACTGAAATGCATCATAGCTCAAAAATACATCCCAACTAGGTTGGCACCTATAATTGAGCCCAATCATATGCAAGCCAAGGCCGATACAAAGGTTGATGAGACCTCAACCAAAACTGGGAATGAAAAATAAAAGAACAGAGGACTATATCCTGCAGGAAACTACAATTTGTGGCCCTTCAATCCAACCAAGCAGTACATGAAATCATGGATTGTGTAGGAAGGCAAATGACTAGAAAACTTCGCCCATGTGGCCACTTTGATCTTGATACTATCCACAATATTCCCCCAAACAGGAACTATAGAGTTAAAAACCATGTTGTTTCTTGCAATCCATAAACTCCAAACCACAGCCAATGGAATTACTTCCCAGATGAGTTTACCCAGGTGATTGTATTTTTGACCATACCACCATAAAAGTAAGTCTTGTAAGGAACTAGGGGAAACCCATTGGGAGCCCCACCAACAAATAATTTCAGCCCAAACCTTCCAAGCGAACTTACAATGCAGGAGCAAATGCAGAGCAGATTCGTTATCAATACCGCAGAAAGCGCAGTGATTGATAGCGGGGATAATGAGCCTGCGAGCAAGGAGATCCGAAGAGGCGATTCTATTCCACCAAACAAGCCAACCAAAAGCTTTAATTTTGGGAGGGGCTGCTAATTTCCACATCTTCATAATCGGGAAAGGGGTTAAACGGAGAGAATTTTCAAAAATTCCATAAAGAGATTTAACTGTAAAGGAGCCTGATGGGAAAGGAGTCCATAGCAGGTGATCCACACAATTGTTATTAATGCTGAGAGGTTGAGGCAATTTACTAATCAGCTCAAGATGCAACTCATCTTCCCAAGCTCTCAGGGTTCTCCTATATGTGATATTCCAATGAGTTTGATTACCCGCAGCCTGATACAAATACTGGTGAACGAAAGAATCTTGGTTTGTAGCTAGAGAGAAAAGTCTGGGATATAGGTTGGACAAAGGAGTACATGAGACCCAAGCATCCAACCAAAATTTAATTCTTTTACCATCCCCTAGCTTGAACTGAATGTTTTCCAATCATGTAATTTTTCTTCCTTTTAACTAACTTTTCCTCTTCACTCGGTTAAGTTGTTAGTCATATAAGAACCAATGCATGTATTTATGAAATTTAAAAAGGAAAGGAAAAATAATGTGAAAACACAAAACTGCAAACTCACTATGCATGAACTTATTGGTTTTAAGACACTACCCATCTCTTTACAAAATATACGTTGAAAAGGTAAATATTAGATCACTGGGTACGTAAAATGTGAATATTAGCGTGTAATGTCTTGTACTTTCCTTTCTCTCTTCTTGTTGTTTCTGTTATATTAAAATGCATTTTTGTCTTTTTCTTCTTTCCTTAAGAACTTCTTATAAGAAAAATAAAAATTAAAAAAAATTATATTATTTAGTTTCCTTTTCATCACATAATTGTTCTTTCTTCTTATTTTCCTTATTCGTTTTCTTCTATTTTATTTTTATTATGCTATGTTGTAGATGCAACATATTGTCTCAATGCAACATATTTTATGCTTACTTTAACATGCTTCAGAAAAACATTTCACATTCAATAAAAAGAATTGAATAAATTTTTGAAAAAGAAACTTTTGAAAAATGTACATAAAAAATAGTATATGACACTATGCAATTCCTAAAAAAATCTATTTAATATTCGAAAAAGAAACCATACCATGGGATGTGCATTTTCCTTTCCTTTGCCATAAGGAATAGCTTTTTTTATTTCCTTTGATATTGCTTTGTCTTTTTCCTTTACCTTTGCTTGTAAAAAATAAGTAGAATATATTTATAAATTATTTTTAAAATGATAAGAAAATGCATGTCCAATGTTCAAGTGACTTTTGTTGAAGCGACTTTTAGGCTTACCTCATGAATGCGAATAGTATTAAGGTCACGCTCATCGTGAATAACAACATTAACATTTCTTTCTTGATGAAATCGAACCTATACATACAAAAATTTTAGAGTGATAAATAAAACTTTATACACATAAATAAGAAAATTAGTAAAGGGAGGTGATATTACGGTTCGGTGTAAGTCCCCATCCACCTATAAAGTATGAGGAAAAAAAATAATTAGAATAGTGTATTGTCCATAACTGTTGTACTTAAATTTATAAGAGAGGTACTTAAATTTATATGAAGAGAAAAAAGAAGAAAAAAAAACTTACTTGACCAAAAATAGTAATATTGTTCATAACTGTTGTACTTCAACCTAAAAATGTTTGGTTATATAATTTTAGACACAAAGAAACAAAAAATTAGCAATAATAAAA